GGTAAGGGCCCTGGACTCTTATGTTGGTGATGACAAACAGACACCTGTCTCTTATACACATCTAGATGTGTATAAGAGACAGCTCCACCTTTATCTGAAACGGCAACACAAAATTTGTTGGTGCCTGACACTGCCTGCTGGGGTGGTTCCCCACCAGGCTTGAGCAGAGCCCTTTTTTTTTTTTTTTTTTTTTTTTTTTTTTTTTTCATTCCTTGGTTTTTTATTCACAAACAACACATCTTCATAACAAACAAAATACACAAAGAACTGAAGAACACAAACAACTGCAAACAAAAAATGAAAAAAAATAATAATTATTATTTTTTTTTTTTATTTTTTTTTTGTGTACCGTTTCGTTTTTTTTATTTTTTTAATTCCTAAAAAGCATCGTTTTCCAAAATAAAAAATATGGGGTTGAAGGGCTTAAAATTCCCTACAACCCCTTTTTTTTTTTTACGTATTATTTAATTGAGTAAAATTCTGGTAAAATCGGGTCCGCAGCGTGGACCAGGTCGGCCGCGGACGCGGACACGTCTGCGTTCCGCCATCCGAGTTCAAACCCGCGTCCGTGGGTGTTTCATAGCCTGACATTGGTTGCTGGTTGCCACTTGACTACTTTTCTCGAGGCTGACCGAATTAGTTGATTATTATTACTCGGTTGGGTGTCATGCTGAGGTAGGATTTAGTGTGGATTCTAGTTTAGATCACACACCACTGTAGCTCATGACTTAAGAAGAAAGTGGTGTGGAGGAGGAACAATTAGTGAGGAATCTTAGAGTGACTCAGAGAACTGCACTCAGTCGACCGATTACCTTCTTGGAGTTAGGCCAAGGAGAGGAAAGGAGACTGTGAAGGGAAGCCAGGGAAAGGACAGCATTGTGGAGGGTTAGGGCAGCAGCAGCCTGCGCTGAGGCCGCAATGGCTACCGCCTCTACTATGTCACAGGCCTTGTCACAGGCCTTGTCACAGGCCTCTTTGTCAGGTGTTAGTCAGGGTGTCTCTCAGGGTCCCGTTAGTCAGTTTGTTGGTCTGCAAGTCAGCCAGCAGTCTACTCTCACGCCAGAGGATTATGAGATACTACAAGCAGAAGCTCTTCACAATGAGTTACAGCAGCAGTTGCGGGAAGCAGCAGAGAGAAGAGAAAGGCCGATATTGAGAAGACTAGAAGCACTAGATGAGTCAACACTGGATCCTGTGATTCAGTCGCAGGTTGTTCAGCAAGAAGTGTTGGATGAACTAGTGGCCGGCCAGAATCGAATTTTGGCTGCTCTGCAGGCTCCTCGTCCAATGATGAGGCAGCCTCAGTATTCTGTAGCTCCCCCTTCGGTTGCGGGTCCCTCAGTGACGTCGTCGCCAGTAGGGCCCTCTTTTTCCCCAATGTTTGGCATGCCTACCTCAAGTGGTTTAGCAAAAGTTAGGGGTCCGGTTCTTAGCACTTCTCCCGTACCATCGATGACGGTGGCAGCTACAGTCCCATCGCTAGGGCAAGCTCAGGTTAGCATGCAGCAACCTGTCTCAGTGGCTATGCAGCCACTGCAGCAATCACAGGGGTCAATCCAACCCATGAGGTGGATGCCCAAGATCCCTTTGCTGAGTCCTAAACCCTCCTCTGGCGACAAGAAGAAGGAAGAGGACCTGGACACCTGGGTGAGGACTGTGCCTACATATGTGAGGCACAAGTTTACTAGACCACAACAGGTTGTTATAGTTGTTGCTTCCTTTTTAGAGGGTTTTGCAGCAAGATGGTTGAATGGTCTAGTGCAACAACAGGGCTATGGTCAGAACTTCGATGCCTGGGCCCAGGCCCAGACATTGGAAGACTTCGTACGGAATGTGTACAATAGGTGGCATGACCCTCAAGGGGCTCAGAAGGCCACCGACGCACTATTCATTCTCGAGTCCAAACAGTACCGGATAGTGCGTGAAGTCGCAAACGCCGTAAAACGTTTGATCGTGGTGCCTGGTGTGCGATATGACCCTCAGGTACTCCTCACAACTTGTCTGAGATGTCTGCCTACAGATGTAAAGAATAAGTTGGTGGAAGTTGGTGGACGAGGCCTCCATCGATGTTCATAACTTCGCTACTTTCAACAAGAAAGTTGTAGATATAGAGGTTAAACTTGGGACCGCTCATCAGGGACCAACGGATGGTAGGAAGAAGAAGCTTCCCCAGGATTGGAGGAAGAAGGGCAATCTCATGTTCGTTGACCATGATGGT